CCAACTCTGCTGATGAGTATTTCTGACAAAATACCAGATCGAGGTTATATACAGTGTTATCTCTAATTTATTGTACGCATAAAGTTTATATTTTGCATTAGTTGAATAATGTAGATATTATTTTGTAAAATCGCTTTAAAATTAAAAATAAGAGATTAGACCTGTTTTATCCAATTTTACGCTGTGCGGTTAAAAAGATGAGGTTACAAATTTTTAGAAAACAGCAAACATCACATTTCTACAATAATGAATTAATTAACTAGGAGTTTTACTGAACATAGTCAGATATGTGTTTGTTTAATTTTTGTTATTTGTTGTAACATAATTGGTTCGGTTTTTACAATACAATTGCTCAAAGTCAAATTGTACCTTTGTGCCCCGCCCTATCCCATATCAACCTACAAGATTGCCTTACTAGTTCATATTTAAAAGCAGATAAAATATGAATATGATCTGAATTACTTATATAATCACATTAAATATTTCAGTAGCATGTTTGTAACTAATATAATTTAAATACAAAAATATATTTGCGTACAGTATATACAGCTAAATTATTATTAACAGGGGAAAAAATAAAAGTTATTTTTACAATAAAAATCTCTTACAGCATTAAAATGTACAGTAGAAATTAGATAAAATATTTACATTATATACAATTTATTTGTTGTATATTTTACTATCTTAGGAAATTATTCTGCAACGTATTAGTCGGCCAATATCTCCAAGAATCATCTATAGGAGAATGATTATGTTCGCCTTTGGTAAAACAAACTTTTTCACCGATTGTATATAATGTTACTTTACAATGTTGATATCGAAAATTAGAACAACGCCAATAAATCTTTTCTTTCTGAATACTATGTTTATGGAATTTATATCCATTAAACATGAGAGCAAAATTTCCTTTGCGGGTGCGAATGATTTTCACATCTTTTGTGTTGGATTGCCAGTTTGGATTTCTTGTGGATAATTGGTAGCCTGGAAATAAAATAAAATTTAAATTGGTTAGTGAAGTTATTAATTTAAAATGTGTAAAATAAAAAATTTTTGGGCGATGCTTAGTGAGTAGTTGGAATATTGCTTTATTTTTTCATTGATATTTATTGATAAAATAAATACAAACATTTACCTTTATACAATTTGTCAACATTATACTATATAAAATAATATATAATTATACACATAAATATTGAGGGTCGTCCTTAAGATGGGTGTTTTTTTAAATTTTTTTGCTCCCAGGGGCGCAAATGCTTCCAAATTGATATAAAAGCAATCTGTGAAAGTTTTAACTCTTATTATTAACTATAAGATAGTCCGCCAACCAAAGACTCTTATGAAAATAACATGGGTAAATTTCCATTTGTTTTTTTTGAATTTCATAACTCAGCGACAAGTGAATCAAAATTTTGAGAATTACATGGTATTTACTTATTTTGATCATAAATAAATATATTACAACCAAAATTTGGTATATTTTATAAAATAAGTATTTATTTAGGAAGAAGAACCGAGAAATTTTGGTTAGAGTGCGGACTATCTTAAAGTTAATATTAAGAGCTAAAACTTTCAAGGTATTTTTTTTTATCAATTTGGAAGCATTTGAGTCCCTGGGAGCAAAGAAATTTGAAAACATCCATATTAAGATGCTAATATACATGGTCTGTTCAAAAAGTACCCGGAATTACTAATAATTAAATTTCGCGGGTCTGGAGTGTCTGATTGTCAAAATTTTTTTTTTATTGTGTTGGTATACATGCCCCTAAAGTATGATGAAATTTTCAGCTATATTCACTGTTTACTTTGTCTGTGGTAGTCGCTAAGGTTCGACGTGTTTTTCTGAGCTCGGCGATTTTTACAATGGAAGAATTGAAAAAGTCAAAGAATTTGTATTAAATTTTGCGTAAAAAATGAAATAAAGTGTTGCAAAGTGCAAAAATTCACCAGATATGGCTCCGTGTGACTTTTTCCTATTCCCAGAGTTGAAGAGACCCATGAAAGGACGGCGGTTTTCCTCGATTGAAGAAAATCGCCGAGAGTGCTCAAGGACATATCAAAAAGTGAATATCAAGGGTGCTTCGAAAATTGGAAAAAACGCTGGCATAAGTGTATTATATCTGGGGGGGACTACTTTGAAGGGGACCACATTAATGTAGACGACTAAATAAATATTTTTTTGAAAAAACGAAAATTACGAAAACTTTTTGAACAGACCTCGTATATTCTATTCTAATAGTTGCCAAAATTTTACTGCCAATTATCACTTAAAATGCATTTTAACCATGAATATTTAAATTATTTAATTTGTACAGTTAAATATATTGAACGTATACATGTATTTTTTTTAAATATTGTTTTTGAATCATTAGGGCATATAAACCACGAAAAATCAAATCTGCAACATTATCAGTTTATTAAAAAAATATTATATGTCTATGTTAAATGAATGACTTACTTAAATAACTACGTCGGGTTTTATAGATGGCAACCCAAACAGTTGTCCCATCTCTATGTAATAAATTTTATTATAATAACTTCTGTATTGTTCAATTTTTATTGATGAAGCAAAGCCAGGTAAAGGCTATTTTTACTTGGAAACATTTTGCTATCTATATTTCCAAGTAAAAACATATGCCACCTCTGCTAGACTTCAGGCTGCTGGAGGAGGGTAACAGACCTGAGACTTTTGATTCAAATCCCATAGCTCTAGCCACTTAACAAACTAACCAATTCGAAAAATATTGTAAAATGTCGACAAAAACTATACGCCTAGATGGATCTCGCAAATGTTCATACACCAAAAAAAATATTCTAAAATAGGGCTAATAAATAATTAGACCTTTCTTATCATAAAACTAGTGCAACTTTAATACATATAGTCTTGCTAATAAAATATAATAATGTAATAATAATCTTTGCTATAAAAATCGTATCTGCAGATATGTTGGTACCAATCTACAGTAAATCCATTAACAATCTATAACTTTGGGGTCTACATGATCTTTGGTTTAGGTGCATCAATCATCACTAAGGTGGCAAAGCATTAGGTCCATGTGTATGAAAACCTTTCGGCAATCTGCAAATTCTGTCATTTATTGTATGTATCGATAATTTGCAATGTTTGTTCTTCCATTGTGTGCAGTACCAATGAACCTTGAGACCAATTGTTCTATGTTTATGGTATTTGTAACCGTTATGAACAAGTAAACGATTTCCACGCCAACTGGTTTGAAAGTGAATGTCTTGGCCGCCAAATAGGGTCGGATCGTAGTCAAGGTATGCCACTGGAACATCTGGAAATAGAGGTAAAAATATATTAGTAAAATGAAAATAGTAAGTGTTTTAATGATACATACTGCTGGAATTTTTATTAATGTCTAGATGTAAAGGAAAGATTAATATTGATACTATAACAACTAAACTAATTATACTTTATTGTTATATTCAAAAAATTACATGGTGCATATATAATAATTAGAGTAGTGTAATTATGTATATATGCATATATAACAACTTAAACACTAATTAAAATTATTTTACATCTAACAAAAAATATTATTTTTAATTTTTGCAAACAAATTTTTATGTGCAAACATATATATTGAAAATTAAAAATGAGTTGAAAATGCTATGGAATAGTTTTTTTTTAATTCAATTTTTTTAAACTTAGAACAAGAATTATCTCGCCTAGAAATATTTAAAACACCATACAAATATTTAACAATTTTTGAAGAAGTAATTTTCAACATTATTTATATACATGGTAAGATACTAAAGAAAGATATATATTAAAATACAGTAGAACCCCGTTAAGACAATTATGCTTAATATGATTTCCCGCTTAATACGTCACGTAAGGCCAGTCCTGTATTCAATATACACATTGTCCTTCTCGCATAATACGCCTACTCATTTAAAACGCGTTCTTGATCCGATCCCTGAAAAGTCGTCTTAACGAGGTTTCGCTGTAATTATTGAAAAAAATTATATAAGCTAAAAGTAATATTAGTTATTAATTAATGATAAATTATACATTATTAATAAGGGAATAAATTAAGGTAGTATTAATACAAATTAATGTTTAATGAAAAGTAACTAGTTCATTACTATTTTTATTTAATGATTTCAACTATTTCCTAAGAAGTTACTTTTTTGACTTTAAAAGTATTTTAAAGAAATAATAAGTTTTTATTGTATGCTTGAAAAATTGCTATAATTCTAATTTTAAAAGTTAAAACCATTTTGAACGTACTTGTAACGATTTTTAACAAATATAATGTCCTGACTACAATGAAATTTCTAACAAACATATAAATTAAAATTAAATTATTTTTGATTAAATTTAAAAAAGTAATTAATTTTGATCACACGTCTGAAAGATTCGCAAAACATCTCTTCATTTTTGTCAACTTTTTTACAAATATAGTAACCATACCATAAGTTGATTTTGTAACAAGCATATTAACTCAAAATTAATTGATTGTTAAAAATTATCACACAAGTATCTTCAACTGAAACAAATGAAATATTTTAATGAAATTCATCATATAAACTACCTAATTTATTTATTTTATTTTCTTAATCTAATTTTTATTTTTTTTTAATTTTCTTACTTTATTTTTTTATTATTTTATTTTCTTATTGTTTTTGTTTTTTTTATTTTCTTCATTTTTTTGTTTTTTTTTCATTAACTTCATTTTTTTATTTTGTCAACTTATTGTATTTATTTATAATACAAATCAATTTACATCCTATAAGACCTTATAAACTACTGAAAAAAATTAAAAAAAATTATATTAAAATGGAGTAAAAAAATATTACTTAGATTTCACTGTACGATCTATGGTTTATATATTCAAAAATATATCTAAGATTATTGGAAAAAAATAATCTAAAGAAAAATTCAAATAACATATCTAGGTTTAGTTTAAAAAACCTTTCATTTTGAATAGATGATCAAAAAAATAATTCCTAAAATCTTATTGAATATAACTTGTTATCTTATTCTAATTAAACATATTTAATATTTCTTTTAAGGATGGGCTCGTGGTTATGAGTCTTGCTGATTCTTATTATCTTGTGGTCCAGGGTGTGGATGGTCGCCCTGCACTTGAACCTTGAGGCAAACGAACAAACCCAGTAAGATTTTTTGCGTTCACTTTGTCTGGTCGTGTTCAGGTTGTATTTGTATTTTCGGTAAATCAGTTGCCTGGTACCACTCTGGCCAATTGTGTAAGTGGCCGCCATTTCATCAGGATTGGTAATTTCCACGAATGTGCGACGACCATAAGTGTGCTCGTAATCAGGATTGAAAGCTGAAAGGAAATTTTTATTTGTAGGACAAAAATAATTTGTAGGCAGTTGAAAAATTTTTGCAATCGATGCAGAAACAAACAATTTTTCGAAAAAGCCTCCCACTTTGATTATAACAAATTTCTGGGAGGCAATATGTGGTAAAAAATAGAAATATTATGGAAATTTTATGGTATGAGTTGGTAATCACAAACTGTGCAAAAGCTATGTATTTGCTGTGCAATCAGCCGTTTGACACATAAAATCTAACCTCCAAAATACAGAAAAGTTAAATAACGATTTTATTCCCTCTAAAATTATCCAAAAATTACGAAAAATCGTCAAAAACTCAAGGCATAAGTGCTTTAGGATAATAACAAGAGTCTACTTGAAATGCACAAAGTAGAAGCAAAATATCAGAAATTATGTTTAGGTTGCCGTAGGACTTCAATGGTTAATGATTTAGTATGTTCATTAAGACCAAGTACTCTATCGATATACCAAGTAAATCGTCTAATTTTAATTTTAATAAACGTCAAAAAAACTACTCATTTTGATGAATTTTTAGAACTAAAATACTTCTCGTAAGGCCGTATTATTTCAGTAGGTTCTATAAGACCATGATATATATCGCCAAAAAATTTCCATAATAAACTTTTCTAATGAATTGATCAGTTTTGCCATGAAAGATCTAGTTTTCTCATTAAAAGATATATTAGATATGTAATTTATTACTTCCAACAAAACACTTAATTATCCAACGATGAAATCTTAATAAGAAAGCTCATATAAACTTGAAATTAATTGATAGCAGTTTTGTCAGGAAAGATGTAGTTTTTTCATTAAAAGATATATTAGATATGTAATTTATTACTTCCAACAAAAAACTCAATTATCCAATGATCAAATACTAATGAGAAAGCTCATATAAACTTCCAACAAGACACTCAATTATCCGAAGATAAAATACTAATGAGAAAGCTCATATAAACTTCCAACAAAACACTCAATTATCCGAAGATAAAATCCTAATGAAAAAGCTCATATAAACTTGAATAATCAATTGGTGGCAGTTTTGTCATAAAAGATCTAGATTTTCAGATTAATGAATTGATAGCAGTTTTGTCATAAAAGTTCTAGTTTTTTTCATTATGGTTTACAAAAGAGATAGGTGAAGCACTTAAGAACAAATGTAAAACTGAAGTTGTTGATTTGAGATTTTTGGATTAATTATCGTAAATATAATTATTACGGATAAATTTACACTACCAGTTTGTTGGAAAATCTCACTGGGCCTCACATCGTCCGTATCGGAGTCATCGATAACCTCAGCCTGATCACCATCAGGCTGATCAACGTCAACATCAGGTTCAGGAGCAGGCCCCGCCTCCATTTCGTAAACTGATTCGTAATCTGAAAACAAATATATTAAAATATTATTATAGGTACTTGTTGAAATATGTAAACCAATTTACGATGATATGCTTGAAATTATGATATTATATTAAAATGTGCTCTGTTGAAAGGGCTACATGATTTCAAGTTTGATGTGTATATTTTATTTACCGTCATGATTTTCCTGAATATGAATTTATTTTCATGTTAATAAAACTACAAACATTTATATAATTTTATTGAGCAGATGCATAAGTACAGCTTGAATAACCAGCATCTTTTGTGAAACTTTTATTGCTTTAATCTAGTAGGTCACGTGGTAGGCGCCTGGCTTCTAATCGAGATCTTCATCATCACTGATATCAAGTAGGAATGATTTCTGTTTCAATTTGAAAACAGTTTTTTTTTGGAATATCTGCATCTGCACCCAAACAGTTTTTCTGGCATCATTTCATGTCAGAGGAAAAAAACAACCAGTGGGCTATCTTCTCATAAAAATTCTACAAAGTGCAAAAATAGGAAACACATCACACAACAACTCAGAGAACAATTGGTTCTAATTTCTGCCAAAAATAAATAAGAACAGAAAATTGACTTAACAGAAATCTATTTATTTCTTAAACCATATTAATATAAATTTCGATAGCACATAAACTTTTCATCAAAGGGTTACATCAGAAATTGTGAATAAAGTACAAATAAAGTGCAAAACAAAATACAGAAAATACAAATACAATATTTATTATTATTATTTATTATGAATGACAATGTTGCCCAGATACTTTGCAAATACGACCATCAGTACTATGAATGGTTACTTTACATTTTAAAGATTTCCTTTTTTTGCATTCATAAACAATTGCATTTTTCAGTCTTTTTTTAATATGAAAAACAAAACCATTATGTGTCATAGTCTTTTTTTGTGATGTTTGCAAAATGTCTAAATACTCGGATTTAATATCTTCGTTATAATAATGGTCAACTGCTGCATTAGACGAGTTGTATATCGCATACTGATCTGAAAATAGAAAAATAATAATCAGAAATAAATAAATACTAGTCATGAATCAAAGAACATACTAAGTCATAATAAAGAAGTAAACTAGTGGGGTGCATGGCATCGTGCATAAGGCAAATTGCTTAAATCATGGTACAGAACCAAAAAGAAAATTACACTACTGTTTACACATTATTAAAATCTCTATAAACTATCTGATAATTTGATGTACATATGTCCAATAAACATTTTTGGCCACCAAATTACATTTTTATAACTTATTTTTATTGAGAGTCCATAACCGCTAGACCTGCTTTCCCACATGGACGCTCCGTTCTCTTAAGAACTGAGTTACTGTTTTTGGCACTTTTTGCCCCGTATCTTCAGAAAGGCTTGACCTGACTTCGCCAGAATTATCCAGATAGGCTGATCGGTGTTCCCGAAATCGTCGACAAAAATTTGTATCCGCACACACACACGCACACACGCATACACACATTTCCTTCGCTATACAAAAAAAGGAAAAAAACGCACACACATATATTTCTAAGGTATGCCAAACTATTCAGAAAACCAAACACTTCTATTTTTTCTAAGGTATGCCAAATTATTCAGAAACCTTTGAAACCTAAAGATGTATAAAAATGTTCATTTTCGTTGTTTTTACGATTACTATAACTTGCCCTACGAGAAGTTAATAAAAAGCGTACACAATGAGGAAAAAACATTTATTACAAAAATAATATAATTTCGTTTAATCTTGTTTTACAATTGGTGGATGATTATGTTCTCCAGTAATACTGTACACAGAATTGTCACTACTATACAGGCGAACTTGACAATTTGATGTTGTTTTTTTATTGCATTCCCATTGAGTGACATTATTTTTATATAGTTTATCGGCATTATAACCAAAACCTTCATACGCAACAATTTTTTTGCCTCCAGGTCCGTCTGCAAGTTGTAGAATCCCAGACCCAGTTTTTTTGAATTGATTTTCTTTCAAAATCGAATTATGTAGAGCTTTCTTTTTTTGAAGAGCTGGAAATAAAATCCAATATTAGTAACACTTATAGTAAAAAGGAATTCATTTTCTATATTTTCTATTTGCATCAAAACTATAACCTTTATACGTGACAACTTTTTTTTTGATTACATGTCTTTGTGAAAGTTGCTGGCATTTAGAACAAGTATCTGGAAATAAAATCTAATATTAGTAAACTTTTATAGTAAAAATAAATTAATTTTTTGATTTCTATTTCTATTTGAATTAAAACTTTAACCTTCAAACGTGACATTTTTTTTGCTTCCAGGTGTTTCTGAAAGTTGCTGAGAATTAGAATCATTATTTGCAATTTGAGTTTTTTTCAAAATCGACCTATTGGATGTAACATTCTTCTTGTGATGACCTGAGAATAAAATATAGTATTAGTAAAACTTGTAGAAGTAATTAATCGATTAATAGAAATCGATTAAAGGAAATAGTATACAATGCATATTTGAATTAAAACACATAATTAAATCTATCATATTAGAACAAATAATTTTCATTCACTACTATATTTACAATTGTTCAGTTAAGGACATTTAGCAAATTTGTTGATTTACTCATTATATCATAATGACAAGCAAAAAAATTAAAACGCATGTTAATTAAATACTTTTTATTTATTTAAAAATAATTACAATTAACAATTTATTCATGATATTATATGAAGTTCATTATTTATTGCAATGTTGCCCAGATAATTTGCACATTTTAAAAATATCATTTTATTACATTTTCAAATAGTTTTATTTTTCATCTTTTTTTTTAATAAAAAGCAAAATCATTAAATGCAAAAATGGTTTTTGTGATACTTCCAAAATGTCTAAATAGTCGGTTATGAAAACTTGGATATAATCATGATCTTAATAATAATCTTAACAACTGATCTTAATAATAATCTGAAACAAATAAATATGAATGAAAAAAACAAAAAATATAATAAAAATGTGAACTAGTGGTGTATGGCGAATTGCTGCTACTTCCCGTACTAAAAATATTTTTTTTTAAAACTGAAAAAAAAAAAATTTTGACAATTTTGAAATTTTTGAAAAACATTGATCGACTTTTAAAATACATGTATATATATATAGATAAATATATGTATATATATTAAAAACTTTGATTTTTTTCTAAAGAAATCGGGCTGCTTTAGCTGCATAGAGACTAAATATGAAAGCGCGTAAGCGCTGCGTCGCTGTCTAACTGAAACAATGTTATGGAACCTATAAAAATATAAACAGAATTTATACTTATTATTAAAATTTTTGTAAAATATTTGATACTTTGATATGCATATGTCTAATAATCATTTTTGACAACCAAATGTCCTTTTTTTATTCTATCTCCAAAACCGCTTGGCTTGCCTTTCCAAAAATTTAATCAGTTCTTTATTTTGTCAACACACGTAAAATGTTTTTTGAATTATCAGAATCAGACGCCACGAATTAAATGATGAACAACCAGGTTACAGTTTTTGGCACTTTTTGCCCCGTATCATCGGGACGGCTGAACCTGCCTTGTCCAAAAACTACTCAGCCCGTTCTCTTATCAATGAGAATCGAATGTTTTCTGAATCATTGAAATTTGTTGAACCGTGTTCCCGAATTTGTTGACGAAAATTTGTAACCAAACACACACACACACATACACACACGCACACACATACACACACATAAATCTAGGTATGCCTAAAAGTTCAGAAACTTTTAAAACATAAAGATATATAAAAAATTTCATTTTCGATTTTTTTGCGATTACTATAACTTACCCTAAGGGAAAATAATAAAAAGCATACATAATGAAAAAAACGTTTATTCCAAAAATAATATATCTACGTTTAAAATTGTACCACAATTGGTTGGTGATTATGTTCGCCAATAATACTGTACACGAAATTGTTTAAACTATACAGGTAAACTTGACAATTTGTTTCTGTTTTTCTATTGCATTCCCAAGTAACAAAATTTTTATATTTGCTATAGGCATTGTAACCATAACCTCTATACGTGACAATTTTTTTGCCGCAGGCTCCTTTGGAAAGTTGCAGAAAATTAGAAACAGTATCTGCAAATTGGATGCCTTTCAAAATAGAATTATTTAAAGTAACCTGCTTTTTATGAGGACCTGGAATTACAATCTGGTATTAGTAAAATATACAGTAAAAATTAAATGATTTTATATTTTCCATTTGGATCATAATTATAACCTTTATTCATGGCAACTTTGCTTTTTGCAGGTACTTCGGAAAGTTGCTGGATATTGGCATCAGAATTTGCAATTTGAATGTCTTTCAACATCGACTTATTTGAAGTACCTTTCTTTTTGAAAAGACCTGAAAATAAAATCTATTTTTAGTAAATCTTGTAAAATGCATGATAAGAATTTATATATGATTGAATCCATATGTTCAATAGCAAAGACAAAGAAAAAAACAATAACGCAAAATAGTAAAATACTCTATATTATATTCCATATTTACAATTAACAATTTATTCATAAGGCATGACAGGTGAATGATTATGTGCCCCAGTTTGCTTAAAAATACGATTATTAAAAGTGTGCAAATTAACTCGGCATTTATATTTCTTTCTTTGATTACACTGCCAGGAAACATTTCCATTATGTTTTCTATGAATGTGAAAAGCGTAGCCTTTATTTGTAGCCACAATTTTTCCACGGGTTCCTTTTGAAAATTGAAGTTCTTCATAATTTGGCCAAAGCATTTGGATGTGGTAGTCCACCTTGGAATGGGAACCTGTAATTTGAATATAATTAAATTGAATATTATGATTAGCATCAGAAAAGTCCTCGTATATACAGATATAAGATATATGCCTAAATACAAAGACCTAAATATGTAGATCTGTATATTACATTCTCAAAAACTTTTTGAAAATGTAAATATATTACGTGCAACATGTGCATTACTAAAAATTGTTTTTAAATTTTAATTAA